AAAACTCTTTTTACTTTCTTTCTTTTCTTTCTACATATCATCCGTCTAAATGTGTATTTTAATTTCTACTACAGTAGAAATTAAAATACTTCCGTTATCTAAACTTTCTAGTAGAATTTAAAATTCTTCTATAGTAGAGATTAAAATTTCAATATCTACTAGTGCAACTTAGAATCGCCGCTTATTTTAATTTCTCCTAGTAGAAAATGAAATTTTAATTTCAACTCGTAGAATTTTAAATTCTACTGAATTTTAATTTCAACTCGTAGAATTTTAAATTCTACTGAATTTTAATTTCAACTCGTAGAATTTTAAATTCTACTGAATTTTAATTTCAACTCGTAGAATTTTAAATTCTACTGAATTTTAATTTCTACTGCGACATATAGCTTGGAAAATTCATAACTCGGAGAGACTTTGTCCAAAAATTCTGAATTTTTTTATGAAAGCTAGCTGGTTGAGAACTTCATTCAGAGAAAGTTTCAGATCGAAATTCCAAAATATGATTTGGCTGGAAAACTGAGGCTCTCCAGGAAAAATTCTATATCTCACCAGGAACAAGCTAATGGAATGAATCCTTTTAGAGTTTTTTTCTACACTATGAGTCTTACCTATGCACAAAATATGAGCTCAAACGGGGTGTATCAGTTGGTGAGGTTCCCTCGTGAGTTAGGAACAATATATTGAATTTGAGCTATACATGTATTGAGTGTCATTTTTGAAGAAAGAACGAGAAAAGAATATTTTTTTATCTGATATGAATCTAATAATTTAAGATAGTTTTTGATGAGTTTTGTCTACCTTGTAACTGTAAACATTGTAGATTTTTTAATCCATTTTTTTAAGACGACTATTCATTGTTAAAATTCTTATATCATCATCAACTAAGTCATTGTAAGATAAACGAAGTTCAATAAGATATTTCAATTGTCCACCTATAATACTTAAAAATTCACTTTTATCTCTATTGAATTTGCAAAACATTGATGAAATATCAAGATGTGTGATATACAAACACAACTGAAATAAGTTTAAATGAAAATTTGACGATAGAAAACATGAAATAAAATGAAATTGTGTACAAAAAGATTGTGGATGGTGACATGTTAAAAGTTTGATAATACTATATAATTGAAATTCATCAAAATATGATGAATGTGGCGTAAGAAGATACTTGCTGAATATCACCGAAACAAACTCATCAGGAATATAACGAAAACTTTCAATAAGACTAAAATTTTTTCCTAATACGTTTAAATATTGATCAACAAGAAATTTTATGTTATCAATCCTATTTATTCGATCCTATGACATTTCATTCTAACGAGGGGATCTCGCGAACTGTCACATCGCTTTTCAGCTGGACCTAATGGGTTATAGGTTATCATCTATGCTGAATCCGAATATTATAGTGGTAACTGCCCAGGGGCCTTCAGAGAGCGCTTTTCTGTAAAGCCAGTTTTTCAGAAACTCTAAAAAGTAGTCAAAACCTTTCTTAATGGGACATGCTTGTAGCCCGCAAATTTCGGGTTAAAATGAGACATCTACCAGCGCTACATGACCTTTCTTTGCAAAGTTATAGAATTTACAAGAACAAAGAGTATCAATTTTTTGATCACCAAATCAATTAAAGAAAATATATTCAAGGAGAATACACAGAAACTTAATTACTGGACAGTATAAAGAAGAACAAATATATACAACAAGAAATATGAACAAAGTAGAAAAAACTCCCTCAGAAATTATTTCCAACACCGTACATCCGATCTTGACGAAACTTTCCATAAATGTTAGACACAATGAGTTACGGGAATGAAAAATTTTTTTTGCTCCAAAGTCTTACGGTTTAGGAGAAAATCGCGAATTAGGATCAGAATTTCGATGTCTCCCAGTAAAGTCGACTTTTCTCAGCGAGGAAAAGGAATTTTTGAAAAAGCTCTTCGTAACTTTGGAGCTACGCATCTGACGAATCTAACCATGTAAAAATATTGGCTCTAGCATCTCTAGAAAAAACTGTGATAGACTTGCAAAATTAAGTTTCGGTTTTTGAGCATGGGTCTTGGATAATTATTTGGGAGCCGATGGTTTGTTCTAAGAATGGTTTAAAACCAGTTTCTTATTCAGTTTTCTACGATCTATCAGAAAAACTAAGTTAGAAGATTCCATCTCGTAACATGTCTAAAAAAAGAGGAATCTAAGAAAAGTTGTCAAATTGGCTATTTTCGACACCTTCCGAGTTTTTTCAAATTTTCAACCGGAAAAAAGGGTTGAGAAAACTCAAGGCACACATATTCTTGACCGCCTTGAAATTCTCTATCGAGTGGTCTATGGTATGTAAAAAAATAATTTTTTTACTGCATTTTTGCTTTGCATGCATTCACAGTTTGCAAGCTAATTGACTTGTTATACATTTTCGTATTTCCCATTTTGCAAGCCAAAATATGAACGAAAAAATCTTCCATTTTGCAAGCCAATTAGTTTAGAAAAAAATATAGATTGTTACATTATAAAAGTAATCAGATGTTGTTAATAAAAGAAAGATAATTAATCAAAAGGAAAAAGCACAATTAAGACATGATATTGAAAAAAAAGCTGGGAATACAATCATGATGGATTTCGAAAAAGGAGCAATTTCAGCATTTAAAGAACATTTTCCAAATGCAGAAATCAAAGGCTGCTATTTTCATTACACAAAAAGTCTGTGGAAAAACTTTCAAAACAAAAAGGTGGAATAAAATTGTATAAAAAAGAACCAGGTATTTCTCACAGTCCAACACATAATGATTCCTCAAGATTGACCGTATTCAACTTCTATTTAGACATGCGTCGGCTGATAGCAAATTTATTCGCATTATCACTTGTTCCCATCGATCAAATTGGTCCGCTATTTGCCGATACGCATGATTTAGTCCCGGCTGATATGACTGCTATACAGAAGATGTTTGATTACGTTTGTGAAACATATATCGAAGGTATATATAATAATATACCTTTAATAATACTAAGGTGCACGGAAAGCAAACTGACAGTGAAATTTATTTTTGGCTTTATTATATATATTCTGATTCACCAGGTCATGCTGATCACGAATATCACCTTCCGAGCTCGAAAAAATTGAATCTTGATGGAGAAAACCGCGAAATACTGCGATGAGGTCGAAAACGTTAAAATCCGTTCTTTTTCAGAAAAAGCTCCACAATTTTTTTCTCTTACGTTTTTATTTACTTTTTTTATTTTTTTCAG